TCCTCCCTCAGGCCCAGGAGTCCAGACCCCCGGCCCCTCCTCCCTCACGCCCAGGAGTCCAGGCCCCAGGCCCTCCTCCCTCAAACCGAGGAGCCTAGAACCCCAGCCCCTCCTCCCTCACACCCAGGAGTCCAGGCCCCCAGCCCCTCCTCCCTCACACCTGGAAGTTCCAGTTACCTTCTCCCTCAGCACTCCACCTCTTTTTTTTCAATTTGTGGTAAAATTCACAAAACATAAAATTAACTATTTTAAAGTGAACAATTCAATGGCATTTTGTACCTTCCCGGTGTTGTGGAACTACCACGTTTATCTAGTTCCAGAACTTTCTCATCACCCCAGAAGAAACCCTGTACCCACTAAGTGTAGACACTCCACATTTCCTACTGTCCCTAACCCCTGGCCACAACCAGACTGCTTTCTGTCTGTGGATTTGTTAATTCTGGACATTTCATATGTGGTTGAGTTTCATCCATGTTTTAGCACACATATCAGCACTTCATCCCTTTCCGTGGCCCAATAGAATTCCGTTGACCCTATGTCCCTGGGGACTTAGGAGTCTGAAACCCACATTTTCTTCCTTGTGCTCTTGCATTTCCACAGCCCCAGCAACTAGGACTTCAGGCTGTCAGCTTCCTCGAGGGTACAGATGAGAAAGTGAAGGTGCTGACAGACAGACATGGGACATTCCTTGAGGCCAGAGCCAGCAATCAGCGGAGGCCCCGATCCCACCCCTGCCTACAGTGGCTTCCCAGGCTGGAAGGCAGCCGCCCTTGGACCCGAAAATTAGAATACAGGTATTATATTGAAGGTGGCACAGGGCATGGTGGCCCTCAGAAGAGGAGGTGGCTAACTAGCCATGGTGTCCAGTGGATTCTGGTTGTGAGGGAAGGGCAGGAAGGTCTCACAAGCCATACTTAGAAGGAGGGGTCGGGGTCGGGGGGGATGACAAGCTAATATGCTTACTAGACAGGCTCAGCCAAGGGTAGGAGGCTGCACGTGGCCTTCCTCTGGGTGAGATGACACTTCACTTCCGTGTGTAGGAAACTGCTTCTGGTTCGTGGTGAGGACCGTTTTTCCCAGAGACGGGAAGCTGCCCATGCACTGGATCTCCATTTTCTCGCCTACCAAAGCAAGGATCATAATGGTGCCCCTGCCACACACTTGTGAGGGTGCAGGAGGGAGTCCATGGGAGTATGAACATCGTCGGGTCGTCCGAGTCACGGTATTTCTGAGAAGTTGCACTGCTTCGTAGCTACTTGGAGCTCAGAGCGTCTTACCGTGTTATCTGGTCCTCTGGGAAGCAAATGTTGCAAGGGTGTTAGCAATACAAGGGGCTTACTGGGGGGCGATGCCAGTGAGAGACAGAGGGGAGAGGGAGCAGGACTGGGCCAGGAAGTGGGTGGGCCACCTGTGGAAGAAGAGGGCGAAGGGAAGTGTGGGTAAGAAGAGCCTCAGAGGGTACAGCTCTGAGAAATCACAGCCGGCCAACAGGGGAGGTGAATTGCAAGGATTTCTTGTCACAGATCCATAGAAACAGAAAGTAGGTTGGTGGTTAGCAGGGGCTGGAGGGAGGGGTAGATGGGGACTGATTGCTTAATCACTTCTTTGGGGGTGGTGAAAATGTCTTGGAAGCAGATAGAGGATGGGCAGTTGCACAACAGTGTGACTGTTAAATGCCTCTGGATTATACTGCTTAAAATGGTTAAAGTGCTGCCTTTTGTGGTGTGTGAATTTTACCTCAATTAGAAAAGGAACAGAGGGGCACCTGGGTGGCTCAGTGGGTTAAGGCTCTGACTCTTGATTTCAGCTCTGTTCCTGATCTCAGGATCATAAGATCAAGCCCCGCCTCAGGCTCCGAGCTCAGCAGGGGCTCAGCGTCTCTCCCTCTTCCTCTCCCTCTGCCCCTCCCCCCACTGCTTGCATGTGCACTCAGGCGTGCTCTCGCTCCCTCTCTCTCTCTAAAAAAATGAATAAAATCTTTAAAAAAAAAGAACAGATAAAGATTGCCATTGGAGGAGTCACATTAGGTGGGACTGGCCAGTACTCCCTAGTACTCCCCTCCCCCTGCCCCACCCCCACCCATGATGCTTAGTCATGGTTGGGGGCTGCCAGAAAAGAACATGACCTTGATCCAATAGGAGTTGCCAGTACCGCTGTCCTCCAAAGGCATTCTTCACAGCTGATTAAGTTCTTTCTTCAAGGGAGATCCACCTTGGCTACCATGCCTGCCCAATATCACTCAGCTACTGAGCGGACGAGCTGGGACCAGAGCACAGGTCTGTCTGATTCTAAAATTTGGTTCTTTCCTATATTTTCATTTTCCGTAAATCTCCCATCCCCCTATCTCCCTTCTCATTCCCAGTCCATGAACATGGTATATATATCTCCCTGTTTTAGATCTTCTTTAAGGTCTCGCAATAAGGTTTTACAGATTTTTCTTGAAGAAGTTTTGTATATCTTTCGTTAGATTTATTCCCCCTTGCTGGATATTTAGAAATACTGTTGTAAGCCATATTTATTTAATTTTTATTTTAGAACTTTGTTAGTTGTACAGAAAATGGTTCACATAGCAGATCTGAATCAGCTATCGTGCTTGCAAGGTTTGTGTTTGTCTTGTGTCTGCGGACTTGGCTCTTGAACTATTCTGAGTGGCTCACTGTGCCTGGATTGTTTGTGCAAACCCTGTGGTTAATGCTGAATGCCTGTTTTCCTTCTGGGAATCTGGAATTTTGGTGCATGCTGGGCCGACAGTATCTATATGATCAGTCATCAATAAAAACCTTGGGTGCTGAGTTTCTAATGGGCTCCCTTGGGCAAAAACATCACACACATTTTGCTGCGTTTTTTTTTAAAGATTTTATTTATTTATTTGACAGAGAGAGACAGACAGTACAAATGGGGAGCTGCAGGCAGAGGCAGAAGGAGAAGCAGGCTCCCCGCTGAGCAAGGAGTTCGATGCAGGACTTGATCCCAGGACCCTGGGATCATGACCTGAGCTGAAGGCACACGCCCAACCAACTGAGCCACCCAGGCGTCCCTTTGTTGCATTTTTTTTAAGATTTATTTTTTTATTTTAGAGAGAGAGAAAGCAAGAGCATGTGAGCAGGGGGAGGGGCAGAGGGAACGGAAGAGAATCTCAAGCAGATTCCATGCCCACCACGGAGCCCAACTCAGGGCTCCATCTCACGACACTGAGATCATGAGCCGAAACCAAGAGTTGGACGCTCAACCAACTGAGCCATCCAGGCGCCCCATGTTTTGTTGCATTTTTGTTAGGGAAAGAGTGAGCTCTGTGTGATCCTCATGAAGGGAGAGAGCATGAGGAAACCTGCCTGTGAATCCTCCAGTCTTGGCCTGTGACTTTTCCCCTCTCCATTTGCTGTAATAAAGCTTAGCCACGAATACAACTCTGTGCTGAGCTCTATAAGTCCTAGTGAATTTCCAAACATTTGGGGGGCTTCGGGGACCCGCAACACACAGGTATAAAGATATACAATTGATGTTTGTATATTGATTTTGTGTCCAGAGCCTTGCTAAATTCCATCCTTAATTCTGATATTTTATCAGGAGCTTCTTTTGGATCTTCTAGGTACATAATAATATCTGTGATTAATGGCAGTTTTGTTTCTTTCTTTTCAATTCTTACACCTTTTTTTTTTTTTCTTTTTCTTGCCTCACTACAATGGCCATGTCCTCAGAACAGCGTTGAATGCAGTGGTGAGGGGACATCCCTGTCTTGTTCCTGATTTCAAATAAAAAGCTTTCAGTGTTTCAACATTAACATGAATTTTCTCTATATTTTTTTATTGTGGTAAAATGTACATAACATAAATGTTGCCCTTTTAACCAATTTTAAGTGTACAATTCAGCGGCATTAAGTACATTCATACTGTTGTGCGACCATCACCATTGTGCCTCTCCAGATCTTTCTCATCATCTCAAACAGAAACTTTTTACCCATTAACTAATAACTCCCCATTTCCCCTCCCTCAGCCCCTGGCAGCCACCACCCCACTTTCTGTCTCTATAAATTTGACTCTTCCAGGTACCTCATGTTAGTGGAATCATACAATATTTTCATGTGTGTGTGTGTCTGGCTTATTTCACTTTCAAAATGTTTTCAAGTTTCAGGGCGCCTGGGTGGCTCAGTCGTTAAGCGTCTGCCTTCGGCTCAGGTCATGATCCCAGGCTGGGATCGAGCCCTGTATCGGGCTCTCTGCTCCACGGGAAGCCTGCTTCTCCCTCTCCCACTCCCCCTGCTTGTGTTCCCTCTCTCACTGTGTCTTTCTCTGTCAAATAAATAAGTAAAATCTTAAAAAAAAATTAAAAAAAAATGTTTTCAAGTTTCATCTATGTTGTAGCCTGTGTCACAATTTCCTTTACACGTTTTGTTTAGTCACTTATTTGTAGATGTTTGGGTTAGTGCCACCTTTTGGCTATTATGAATAATGCTGTGATAAACATTCA